GGACACAGACCCGGCAGGTCAACGCAAGAAACATGATAGGAAACAGCCCAGAAAAGGCCATGGAAAGCTACATACTGGCATACAATTGGCAGACGTGGGGGCAAGACCAGGCTGAATCTGTCCACCTCACGCACTGGCAAATCTAGGCACCAGTGTGGGTCGACCCAGGTTCAGTCGCAACAAAGACTAGTGCACAATATGGAATGCCGAGGTGAGGTTGCCTGTATCGGAAGGGACCGCAGCGCCCAACCAGCCTGAGAACAAGAAAGGAAGTGGGCAGAGCCGGCAGGGGAATAAGGGAGGGTTCCTTTGCAGGACAGCTACTTCCACAAGAGAGCATAGGCTGGGATGGGGGCAGACCTGACTAGGCAGAGCTACCACACCTGTGTGCCTCATGTGGACTAGATCAGGGAAAAGCTGGGCTCGGCGGATTATTCCTACTGGTGCAAACAAAATTAAAGTGGGCGAGGTTTGTTTGGGCTTAGACGCAGCATCAGCTGGAATCTGGGAATGGGAGAGGCCTGGGAGGGAAATAGTGGGCTCATCCCTCTTGGGCTGCCACTTCCACAGGAGGACATAAAATTAAAATAGCGGCTGGGGTGGAATAGGGTGTGGGACAGACTGGATTACTGCTACACTTACTGGCAAACCAGGGTAGGGGGTGGGCCTGGTGGGGGTTATTGTGGGTCGCTCCAACTAGGCTGCAGCTCCCGCTGGTTTATGTGAGGGCCAAGTATGTGCGGGGCAGAACCAGGCTGGACTGCAACACCCATGGGTTCCAGTGGAAGTCGGGAGTGAAAACAGAACCAACCCAGCAATTACAACCACCAGCTGATTGGAGCGATGGACGGTGCCAGGCCCTGTACTTGTTAGCACATACAAGAAGTTTCTTTGGAGATCTTCCTAATCTAAATGCTGGACTCAGAACCCTAACGAAGAAAAGAGAGAAGACAGAACAGGTCAATCAACCATCTCAGCTATAATGGACTATGTCAATCAGTGGATTTTTCAAAGCCCTCATAGTGCTTGGAGTGGCAAGATTGACAGCAATTCATGACTGTTGCAATATCAAAACTACTTGAGCAAGAACCTCAGAGCATGCCCTACGTCCGGGACCTGGGGAGGGTGGGAAATTGGGTGGGCCTTCTCCCTTAATACCCCCCTTTAAACATGAAGGTAACAATATGGAAAACATACTAGTATTATCCACTTTCCTGTAGCCCTTGAACCTTCTTACCCTAATTAACTATGTAAAGAATGTCAAAATAAAATTTTATTTAAAAAAAAAAAGAAATCCAGGAAGCTAGTGTCACAAGTGGCTTAACCCACTGCACCCCAATGCAAGCCCCTCCACAAACTTGCTCTAGTTCCCTCACATATATGCAGCGGAACATTGCTGAGTGTAAGAGAAGTTCCACCACTTGTGACAACGAGGATGAAGGCAGAGGATATTATGCTAATAAAACCATCCAGAAGCCAAAAATCAAATTCTACATGTGGAATCTTAATAAAGTCAAATTTGTAAAAGCAGAAAGTAAGACAATGGTTGCCAAGGGCTGCGAGGGCTGTTGGTCAAATGAGTTCTCAGGCAGCGGATGTCCAGCATGGGGACAATGGGTAATACTGCATTGTGTACCTGACATTGGCTGAGAAAGCAGATATTAGGTGCTCTCTCCACCAACCCCACACACTCACAGCAACTGTTGTAATGGCTAATTCATTAACACGACCTTGGAAACCATACACAATGTATATTAGAGTAAGTCATCACATACCTTGGATAGAAACAACCTTTTCTTTTCAATTACATGTCAATAAAGTTGAAACAACTTCATGTAAACCAGATGGGATAGAAAGCATGCTGGATGACAGAATCCAGATGGAAAAGCTTCCCAACATGATGTGTCAATGTGCTGAGGGAAGCTAACCACAGCCGACAGCTATGGAGTCTACCACAGGCCTGCCTCCACGGCAGGCACTTCAAATGCTTTGCCTCCCTTTATCCTCATCACAACCTTGAAAGCACAGTGACACACTCATCCTTACATTACAAGCAACAGGGGCTTTCAAAGGCCATGAGACTTGCTTGAGCCCAACAATCACCAGATGCTGAGAATCTCCACTCAATGTCATGTTGCATTTAGCCAGCTGAGTTGTACTATGAGTTTTCATACATGAAAGGAATTCAAGATGTCCGTGCAAAATGAAACTAAAAAGTAAGTTTATTTTGGGACAAAAAAGCATTGTGAAATCTACTCCCATTTTCCCTTAAACACACATACCCCCAAATTTAGGGGCTTGTGGAGGAAGCTAAGCCACCACCTGTGGTGCTATATCCCATACAGGTGTTGGTTCAAGTCCTGGCTGCTCCACTCCAACTCAGCTCCCTCTACTGGCCTGTGAAAGCAGCAGAGGATGGTCCAAGTGCTTGCATGCCAGTGCCCAGGTGGGAGAACTGAAACAGGCTTCTGTCTCCTGGCCTTAGACAGGCCCAGATCTGGCCATTACAATCAGCAAACAGAAGATCTCTCTCACTGTCTCTCCTTCTCTCTCTCTAACTGCTTTTCAAATAAAAATAAATATTTTTTATAAAACAAGATTTGTCATTTATTTGAAAGGCAGAGTAATAGAGCAATAGGTAGAGACACAAAGAGAAAGTTCTTCCTTCTGCTGGTTCATTCCCTAAATGGCTGCAACAGCAAGGGTTGTGCCAGGCTGAAACTCCACCTGGGCCTCCAACCTGATGGCAGGAGATTTGCTGCTGCTCTTGCAGGTCCCTCAGCAAGGAGCTGGATCAAAGTGGAGGGATCAGGAGTCAAACTAGTGTTCTGATACAGGATGCCACCAAGACAGGTGGCAGCTTAACTTGCTGCTCCACAGTGTCGGCCCCTGGTATCTCATGACTTGCATTCCATGACTTCGCTGAAGATCCCCAACACTCGGTAGGGAGAGCATCACCACCTTTGGGATCACAGCCTGTCTATAACCCTCAGAGACCCTGACGCTCCTCTGCAATCCTTCCCTCCCTGTGCACCTCAGTGGCGCTAGAATCACAAGGTCTGGCTGCACTCTGGTTGTTGCAAACAGAATTCTCAGAGCTATTTTCTTCATCAGAGGAAATGTCAGGCTCTCTGTGGGTACCCTTCCCAGACGCAGCTTGGAAACCTGCTCCGGGCAGTGAGCTGAGACCCACTGCTTCTGCCTGCCCCCTCTCAGTCCAGCATGATCTGTTGTCTGATGTCGGAAAACCTGTCTTCTACATTTTATCCTCCAGTTCTTGTCAAATACTCAAGAAATGCTGCACCTCATCAGAGCACGGGAGCTCGGTCTCATCCCGAATTGACTAGTCTTTCACTGTCCCCAGGCAGCAGTAAGGGTCATAGGTGTCCTATCTCACTGAATATTAGGACGAAATCATGTTTGTCAAAGTGTGTGGGGTGGGGCTCAGCACCGTGGCAAAGTCCTCCCTTAGGACACCATTTCCCAAACTGGAGCATCTACATGGGGTCCCAGCACTGCAAGAGCACCTCCTGGCTCCTGGGCGCCCTGCCTGGCAGCGGGGCTTGGCTCAACCCTTGATTTTCTGCCACCTACCTGGGAGACTGGGACAGATCTAGTTCCTGCTTCTGCCTGTCCCAGTTCTGACTGCTGTAGGCTTTCAAGGAGTGAATCAACACATGACAAAGCTCTCTGTCTCTCGGCCTTTCCAAAACACACTTTTTGAAAATGTGATGGGGCAAACCCCACACTCATATATCATCACTACTTAATATTGCATCAAACTTGTTTATTTCTGGTACTAGTCATTACTCTTATAACTAGTCTTTACAAGAGTGGATGGCACCCTCACAAGTCAAAGTTCTCCTCACAGAAGTCGGCTGCAGCCAAGGCCCGTGACAGCAACCACACCTGACATGCCTCAAGGTCACCCTAAAGTGGCCACAGCTGGCTGGGGTACACATCTCAACAGCTGGAAGGATGTCCAACCCAACGCCGTCTGGACACACTAGGGTTCCAAAGCAAGGCATGTCAGCCTCAAAGTCACTCAACTGCACTGCACCAAAAGCCTTCTAGTTTCTCTTTCACAAAGAAACACTGGGTTCCTCCCCTTCCTCTCAGCCTCACCCTCCTCCCAACACACCCCAAAAAAATGACTTCCTCAAAGTCAGCTCCTCAAGGTCAGCTCCTACAGTTAAAAACAAACAAACAAGTACAGGTATTTAACCAATATTCGATTCACAGCGTACAACAAACCATCCAAAAGTTCTGGACACCGCCACAAAGAAAACCCAACCAAACCAAAACAACGTACTTTTGTAACAAGAGAAAACCAAAAATAGCACTAACTCACCAGAAACAATCCGGTGCGGAAGCCGTCGCAGCCGCCCACACCCCGACGCGGGGACCCTGCGGGCTCGGCCCCTTGTCCCGCATCCCGCTGCTTCCAGCCCGGCCCGGCTGCTCGTCCCCAGCCGAGCACCGGGCCTCTCCTCTCCGCGTGCCCGTCAGCGGCGCTGTCTCCATTACCCGGGGAGCGGGGCGCCCTCTGCCGGCTCCCGACCGTCGGCCTTCCTCAGGTTCCTCAGGTTCCTCAGGTGACAGGTCCCTGAGGTCACTAGGGCTGCCCGGGCCGACGAGCTAACCCGGCCTCCGTCCGCCCAGAGCACTGGTTACCGGAGTCGGCCGCGCAGCCGCAGGCGCCACGCCCGGTTTCCACAGACAAGAAGGGCGTCGCCTGGGCAGCGCGCCCGGGGCCTCCCCCGGCAGGAGCGGGAGCGCGCCGAGGGCGGGACTCTCCTCAGCTCCGCCCCGCCGCGGCCGCTGTTCTCAAAGCGGTGCTGATCCGGGACCAGCTGCCTCGTGCCCGCGCGGTTCGGGAAGCGGCGGCCGGCGGAAGAGCGGGCAGCGGCGCCGGACGCGGCCCGCTATGCCTCCCGTTGCGGCCGCCACCTCGGGGCAGCAGCCGGGTCCCGGGGCCGCCGCGCTCTGAGGCCCGGGCCTAGCAGCCTCGGCGGCCGCGCTCGCCCTCTCCCTCGCCACTCGGCCGCGCCTCAGCTCTTCCCTCAGGCCGCCATGGTCCTCGCCGCCCGGGAGGGCGCAGGCTCGTCACGGCCCCGGGCTCTTGGCCGGCTGCTGCTTCTCTGCCTGTGGCTGGCGAGTGGCCGCGCGGCCGGGCCGCTCGCGGCGCCACGGCCGGACCTGCACGCGCAGCTTTCGGGCGTGGAGCAGCTGTTGGAGGAGTTCCGGCGGCAGCTGCAGCAAGAGCGGCCGCAGGAGGAGTTGGAACTGGAACTGCGGGCCGGCGGCGGCCCCCGGGAGGGCTGCCCGGGCCGGGGCGGCGGCGGCTACAGTGCCATGCCGGACGCCATCATCCGCACCAAGGACTCCATCGAGGCGGGCGCCAGCTTCCTGAGCGCGCCGGCGTCGGTGCGGGACTGGCGGCAGTGCGTGGCCGCCTGCTGCTCCGAGCCGCGCTGCTCCGTGGCGGTGGTGGAGCTGCCGCGGCGGCCCGCGCCCTCTGCCACCGCCCTCCGTTGCTACCTCTTCAACTGCACAGTGCGCGGCCGCAACGTTTGCAAGTTCGCCCTGCTCCGCGGCTACAGCAGCTACAGCCTCAGCCGCGCCGCGGTCCCCGACGCCGCGTGGGCCTCGACCGGACCCGGTAAGCGCGCGACGGAGGGGGCCGCTCGGGGTCGGGGCGCTTGGGTCTTCCTGCCCAGGCACCTGCTGGGGGCCCGGTCTGCACTCTAGGCGCCCCTGTGCAGGGACCAGGAGCTTTGATTTTCCCCGGGCCCTAGGGGGGAGATGGAGGGGGAGGGGATGCAGAGCGGCTGGGATTTTCCTAAACCAGGAGAAGAAAGCAGCCTGGAGAGGATTCGCGGAAATTCGACGTAGAGGAGGAGAACTCTGAAGCGAGACGGACAAAGTTTATTTTAGCCCCGTGGGTTTTATATTGCGTCAAGCTGCTGTTGAGAGCCCAATCTCGGGAGCTTACCAAAGTGCTGCTAACGCCCACCCTCGTTGCCTCTGGCGCTTCCAACCCGCGGTTGCTGTCATCAGACCAAAATACGGGAGGGGGCTGTTCGCTTTGGTGAGGAGCAGAAAGAGAGAAATAAAAAATAAGGAAGTTATACTGCATCTCTTTTTAGCGGGATGGTTTTTGATTTGCTTTTAATAAGGATTCAGATTTCAGGAAGTTCTTAAGAAAGTGGCATTGGATGATGTTGTGGGTGGGGGAAGCTCGCTGGATTCTTTCCTCAGCTTAGAGAAGACTGCACAGGGGAAGCAAGCACAGGCAGAGCAGAATGGTGACACAGGTGCTTTGACTAAGTCACAGGGCCCGCAGAGTCTCTAAGACAAAGCCACAGGAGAGCACTTTGCCCCGAAGAGGGAAGTGGAGTGTCTAACCAGACACTGTCTTTAGGGGAAACGGCTTGGGGTTTTTAAGTATTTTTTCTTACAGTCATAGTCATGGGGAGTGCCATGGGGGATCCAGGAGTCTGGGCTGATAAAAGCGTCTTGAATGAGGGTATTCAAGCCACTATCTTTCCTGTCCTAATCTTGGAGCATGGTCTGAGGCCTCATGCTCCCCAGGATCTGGTCAGAGAAGCAGAAAGGAGATTCCCTTGGCCTTGATTGTCTTGGCAACCGCCAGGTCTTGCTTTGCACAGCCAGCCCAGCTGGTGTGTGCAGTGAACTGTGAGGTGGGGTCCAGTAAGTGGGCACCACCCCCTCCTCCAAGGCCCTGAACCTGGCCTCACAAGATACTTGTTTTTGGCGCAAAAACATTTTGAAGCGTATTCATAGTTTTTTGGTAAGACTCATTCCCACAAACTTTTTGACAATAAAGATTATAGGAGTTGGAGATCGAGGTGACTGGGAGGCCTTGCCTGGGCCACTTGTGGTCAGGCCCAGCGTGCTGTCCTCTGCAGTATAGCAGTGTGAGTTGCGGTAACGGGAATGACAGCATTAGTGGAGGGGGAAGTTTGGGGCAGCCTCAGCCTCTTTGGAAATCTTGATCCCAGATCCCACTTAAACCCTCCTCCACCTCTAATCTGAGATATCAGATGTCAGGGGTCACTGTGGCCACGCTGGGCTTTGAGACAGTCACTGGAAGGCAGCGCCTCTGTGGGATCCCCAGCAGCCTCCCTGAGCTCTGAGTTCCACAGAGCCTTCCACTCTGCCCACAAACCCCTCAGCCAAGAATCAGCCTGTGGTTCTCAGCGCCCATCTGGAAGAAGCCCACAATACCTCACAGAGTTCCCATAACCCAGGGCACAAATGAGGGAAGAGTGCACCTGGGGCAAGCAAAAGGAAAAAAATCGAGTTTCTAGAAGTTGCCGAATCATTTTTTCCTCCTCCTTTCTTCTTGGCCCTTCCCTTCCATGCGGTGAGGGGGAGGGGGTTGTCTAAGAATTCCTTGTGGGAATTCTAAAGATGGCCCGTACAGGTACACGTGTCATTGTCAGAGCCTACTTGGGTCATGTGGCTGGTTGGAAAAGCTGGGGGATTGGATGGGATGGTTAAATAAAGAGCGTAAGTTTGGGGTGGGAGAGGGAGCAGTTAGCATCCCAGAAGAGCTGAGAACATCATCACCTGTAAGGGCTCCAGGACCTCAGCCTGGGAGCTCAGTGTCTCCAGGCAGAGTTTGGGAACTCTGGAGAAGATTAGAAAGGAAAAGGATAGGTGCTATTCATGTTTATAAAAGCTTATATATGAAAAGAAGAAATTGTAAGCATAAGTATGGTGACACATGAGATAAAAATATTGTATTAATAGAAAGGGTTTGTGAGACAGAGGAATAACAAAACTAAATGAATATGCAAAAACAGTTCCCAGAGTTAATAAACAAGGAAAGTGCTGAGTTTTAATTAACGACAAATAATTTCAGCTTGTACTTACTGTACAAGATTACTTTTAGATTGGCACACATGTACTTTCTATGCTCTTTATTATTCACTTATTTCGACTGTATTTGAAAGGCAGAGAGAGAGCTGCTATCCACTGGTTCCCCTCTCAAGAGCTTGAAGCAGTATGGGCTGCAGCTGAAGGTGGGAGCCGGGAACTCTGGGTCTCCCATGTGGCTAGCAGAGACTTAAGCCCTGGAGCATCATCTTCTGCCTTCCAGAATGCGTGCTAGCAGAAAGCTAGATTGGAAGAGGAGTAGCTAGGACTGACAGGCACTCTGACCTGGAATGCAGGCACTCCAAGCAACATTTTAAACCTCTGTGTCAAATGCCTGCCCTTCTGTGGTCACTTATGGTGTAAAGCAGTGCCAACTTCGTGGAAATCAATGAAGAGATACTTAACAGAACATTAAAACACAAGTGATGTTCATGCATTTTTCTGAAAAGTTTTTATTAAAATGATTCATGCTAAAGAAAAAATATGGACTGGCATTATGGCACAGTGGGTAAAGCTACCACCTGCAACATTGGCATCCCACGTGAGTTCTAGTTCATGTCCCAGCTACTCCACTTCCATTTCAGCTCCATGTTGATGGCCTGGAAAAAGCAGTGGAAGATCGCCTGAATGCTTGAGCCCCTGCCACCTGTATGGGAGATTGGCTTTGGATTGAAAGAAAAGATAGAAGATCAATTCCTCTGTCTCTTTTTGAAATATATAAATACACCTTTAAAAAAAAAAGATGAGCAGAAAAGGATTTGTTTTGGCATTATTTATCATGGTGGAAAAAAAATTGTCACAAAGCAAATGTCCAATGTGATAGGAAATTAAAATGATAGTGGTGAGTTTGAATTGTGTGGGCAGTGCTAAATATATGAATAAAATATCCATAAGAAGAATATATTAAAAAGCTACTGATTAAATTCCAGATGTAAGACTGAAGGGTGTGTCAGGGTGTACAGAAAGACAGAGCTTGTGAGTGAGAAAGAGCTGGCCTGACAGCTGACCTGGCGTGTATCACTTGTGTAATCTTGAGCAGCTAACCTGGCCCATCTGTGCAGCTTCCTTATCAGTGCTGCACAAATGCCTGTCTTAGGGACGTGTGGAAGTGAAGTGCAGTGCTGATGGAGCACTTGTCACGGTGCCTGGTACAAAGCTGGAATCCCAAATTGGCAGCTGGCAGCACTGTCAACACCAGAGCTAGGCCAGAACTGTGCCTACATAAAATACTTTTGCTAAATAACATGTGGCGCCTGGCATGGTAGCTTAGCAGCTAAAGTCCTTGCCTTGCACCTGCGCGGGAGACCCAGAAGACCCATCCAGCTCCCTGCTTATGGCCTGGGAAAGCAGTCGAGGACGGCCCAAAACCTTGGGACCCTGCACCCACATGGGAGACCTGGAAGAGGCTCCTGTCTCCTGACTTTGGATTGTAGCAGCTCCAGCCGTTGCTTGGGGAGTGAATCATCGGATGGAAGATCTTCCTCTCTGTCTCTCCTCCCTTCTGTATATCTGAGTTTGCAATAAAAATCAATGAATCTTTAAAAAAAACAGTATCTCTCTTATTCCAAGATACCAATGTAAAGGCTGAGGATTTCACTGGGTTCATAAATGGTACCTTAAAGCTCCGCTAAATAAAACTAAATAGCTATAGTGATATTTTTCCTTTCAAGAAAGATAGAGTGTATTAGTGTTTTTATCATATGGGTTATATCAACAATTACCTGATTCTTCTATCTTAAATCTTTGAGAAATGAAAAATAAGATATACATATATATATGAGTGTTCATATTGACATAATTTTATTCTCGTAAAAATAACAATTTAAATTTTCATATAAATAGCTGCTAACTCTAACGTGTACCTGCAGAACTAGAAGATGCCCATAAAAGGGCTGCTGGTAATGCAGACACCTCCGCTCCCACCTGGGAGGAGCAGGACAAAGCTGCAGGATCACCAGGGCAGGGAACAGACAGAACCAATTGCTCCAATGGCTTACTTAAAGTTACCAGACCTTAACCCTTTAAATGACTGTGAAGAGGGCTCATCTCATAGACCGCTATAATAAGGAATTTTCTATTCCCTGTAGGTATAAATTACTTAGTCGCTTGTGTCACAGAAACCCAATGTGATGTTTCTATTATCACGACTAGGCTTATTTTTAAGACTTATTTTATTTTATTTATTGGAAAGGCAGATATAAAGAGAAGAGGAGAGACAGAAAGATCTTCCATCCTCTGGTTCACTCCCCAAGTGACCTCCAAGGCCGGAGCTGAGCTGATCCGAAGCTAGGAGCCAGGAGTTTCTTCTGGGTCTCTCCTGCATAGGTGTAGGGCTCAAGGTTTTGGGCCGTTTTCCACTGCTTTCCCAGGCCACAAGCAGGGAGCTAGACAGGAAGTGGAGCAACTGGGACACGAACCAGCGCCCATATGAGATCCTGGTGGTTACAAGGTGAGGACTTAGCCACTAGGCCACCACTGGGCTCACCATAACTAATTTTTAGAAGCTTTGACCCTCCAAAGAAAAACTGGATTCCAAAAAAATTTTTCATATGGGATTTAATTTGAATGGGTTAGCCTGTCCTTGCAACTCTTTAGAACATAGAAAATGTAGTTGTTGTAGCTGCTTTCATAATTTTTTAACTAGAGGAAATATAGGGTGATTTTAATAACATCATAAAAATATACTTTTGATTATTGTTTGATTGTTTTTATGACGTTGTAGAACCTGCAGTTGTAGAGGGATTTAATGTTTGAAACTTTTTGTCTTAGATCTTTATGTATTTTTTCTTTTGTTGTGTTTCCCGTTAAGTGGTGGATAAGTTGTAGAATAAGAATTGCAGTAGGAGTGTATTACTGAATGAGATGTGTTGTCCACTGAGAAGTTCTTAGCTGCAACATCAGAATGGATAATGCCCTGTCTTAAGGTGAAACAAATTGTAGAATTATCTTTGGAAACATTCACTTGCCCATTGTAGAGTTGAAACTTAAATGGAGTAAACATAGCTCACAGCTAATTACAATTCTTTCCTCCGTTATAATTCTTGCTTTACTTGTTTAGTTAACAAACTGTGTGAGCTTGCAGGCCTAATGGCCTTTCATGCCAATGGCCCCTAATCCCCATAAACCAAGACTCCAGACTTACTAACCCATACATAATTCAAGGTAGGGGTCTGGCTGGCACAGGTGTGCCAAGGATAGAACCCAGACTTGAGGAGAGCAGGTGAGGGCTGGCAAGCTGAGATAAGCAAGGAATGTAGAATCCTTCCTCACTCACCTCTCAAGCTGTTGTAAATTGTGCCCCACCTTGAAGCTATGTCAAACTGCCCCTAAAGAAAACTTTGTAATTGTACTGCTTGGGGCCGTACTCTGGTGGAGTGGATGCAACACCATGATGTAAAAAGTTTGTGCCAGAGTTTGTGACTGCTTCTGTATAAATAAAGCAGACAGCTTTCTCGCATGGTCCACAATGATCTTGGAATTGTAGTGGTCCGTCTCTCTTCTTTCTACGCCTATTTCACATACCCTTCTTGAGCTCTGAACTCAGCTGGAGCTGGACTCCGGCAAAATGTAATGTATATAATTGTGATGTATAGTACTATAATATACAATAAAACAGTATACCTTTATGTAACTACATGTACTTTAAATAACTAGTTAATAAATATATGTAAATATCTATTTATTATTTGATAGGCTGAGTGACAGCAAATGTTTGAGAGAGAGCAAGCGAGCTCTTCCATTTTCCGGTTTCCTCCCTAAATGGTTTGCCACAGCTGGGGTTGGACCGGGCTAGAGCCAAGAGCTTAGAATTCTGAGTCTCCTGTGTGAGTGGCAGGTGCTCAAGCACTTAGCCAATCCTCTGCTGCTTTCTCAGGTGCGTTATCAGGGAGATGCAGTGAAAGTGGAGAAGTTGAGTGTTAAACTGGCATTCATGAGATACCAGCTTCACAAGCAGTGGCTTAACTCATGGAGCCACAGCACCAGCCCCAATAAAAAGTCTTTAAAATGTTATCTAAACAAATTTCTGAAGCCAAGTTGCTTATAAATATCAAGTGAAAAGTTCTTTTAGAAAAATTCATATTTACACATATTTACACATTGGGTGGTCCTGGTATACTGTGTTACCAGCTTTGTGGCAGCCTCTGCTACCTCCACATTTCCTCTTCCACACATATGAGAGCTACATTCCTTACTCCTCGTGATTTTATTATGCTGTGTAAGAGAACACAAGGAAAATCCAGAGGAAAATAATCTTCGGTGAGTGTGCATTTTCTTGGTAGTTCCTAGCTGACCTGTATCTGTTCAACAACCAAGATACTTGCCTCATAAATTATAAAAGAATAGAGAATCCTCTCATGATTTATTTACCTTCTTTCATAGAAAAGGACGAGCCTCCGCAAAGCAAGGCTGGACAGAATGTGGTCCTGCATCTACCCACAGACGAGGTGACGTTGGATGGCCGTGAGAGCACAGATGACCATGCCATCATCCACTATGAGTGGACGCTGCTGCAGGGTGACCCGTCGGTGGACATGAAGGTAATCCACGTGGCCTTTACTAGTGGAAACTGGTGTCTCAGAGAAGGGTGTTCTCCTCTTGCATCTGAATTTTTGTAAGCAGGCAGAAGAGGCTGAAGTGGAGAATACCATTTTGTTTGTCTGAAAATGGATCATGCTGTAAATTTACTTTTCCACAGAGTAGATGGTGATCAGGATCCTTTGTTTTGAGCTCACCTTTGTTCTTGCTCCTTTTTCTTGACTTCAAGGAGAAAAAGACTGATGCTTTGCTTCCATGACCCACTTTTTGAAAGTTGTGTTTATTCATATGCTTGGTGCAGACTCAAGTAGAATATCTAAAACTTACAAAGTAGAGTTGTTTAAAGAGGAGAAATAACAGGGTGGGCTATTCTTCCTCTTGCCAGGAAAGTGAACATTTTGCTGGTCTGAGCCACGGAGTGAGGGTGTGAGTGGTAGGTGTTCCCTTGCGTGCCCCACTCTTTGTGGGCCCCTTCTGGGCTGGGCTGGGATTGCTGCAGATGGAGGAGACCCACCTGAACAGTGGCTGCCTCGGCATCCCCGGGGGTATTACGTTGTGAGACAAATGGTTTCTTTTATGAACTTTATCAGGTCGCTGTCTAGTTGGGAGCATTTTAAAGGTTGGACAGATGAACATCATGCAGACCGCTTGAGTTAGAGAAGGTGGGAGGGGACATGCACAAACACTGATTATAGACTCTGCTGGAACTAAAGCCAGGACGGTGGGCACCTAGTCCCTCAACACTAATTTAAGTTTTTCTTGTTTTATCATTTATTATTAAGGTTTCATTCAATGATTGTAAAGTCTTAGAATTGGACTGTGTCCTCACCAAGCGTCTTACCTAGCCGCTCCTTCATTCAGGAGTCCCTTCTCTAGTAACTCTGTCAGAGGCCTGCTACTCTTTGCCTGACTTTTCCAGGATAAAAGCTCACTGTTCCACCTGTGTCCTTCGACTTGCTAGTCTGCCCTGATTACTAGGGAACTAGGTTGCGCCTCCCTTCATTTGTGTGCATCAGTGCCAGGTCTTTCCTTGGAAAACCATAGCATTGGCCTCCTTTAGTTCTGAATAGAAGTCCTCAAAGTCTTTGCACAAAATAAACATCACCACTTGGTCTACTGCTCTTAAACTCAACACCTCCGCTTCTCTTAGAGGTTGTACACATGAATTTTTTTCAGGCCGCCCACCTTCCAGTCCCTGGCTTTTTTCAAATTAATCTACATCCTTAAAATCTGCAAATGCTGATGGAACCCGGGCTCTTTGGCAGCTGTCACCATTGATGATCCATACCTTGTCTTTGTATCTATTATTGAGGCATAATTTGCATGAATCATGTTAGTTGTACCACAGAGGGTTCATGCAGAGTATTCTATTAGCAGGATCACCTGCAGCCTGCTCCACCTTTCATCAGAACTGCCATTCTGACGACTCCCCCTGCTGTGTGATTGGTTTATTGAACCTGAGTGCAGGGACTTCTCTCATCTCAGTTTTCAGCTTTTTATCTACAACACAAATAATCCAGGACATTGAGTGTTACTGGTCATATTGACTATTCTTTCATATTTTGTGTCAGCTGCAAAATTGATGAATCAGGAATTTGGAGAACTGAGGTCGCTGAGGAGAGATGTGGGGACAAGTCCCTTGTCATGGCCCTGGGGAACTGCCCTGGGACGGACCCTGTTTCAAGCACCTTGGGGATCTGTGTGTGCAAGCAGCTGCACATTTGCTTCTCATCATTTGGCTCATCATACATGTTCCTAGGAATTTTATTAGCTAGAAATTACATTTATGGCTGACAAATAAAAATAGTGAAAAAACAGGAAGTAAAGGTATGTTACAGTACATGTCTGTACTCCCAAATAAAAGTAGGACTCCAGTGAAGCATTTGAATATGCTTTTACAATATCTTACTAGATTTTCTACCTTTGCCTTTACCTACTATGCCATAATATAGTTAAATAACAGAAAGTTAAACTTGTAGCTGTGACTAAGGGATTATACTACTGTGATAATATGAGGAAAAATGGTGGGAGGGGAAAGGAAGGAGAGAAGAAGCACAGGAGGAGGGAGGAATCTATATCTACAAACCTGTATCATTGAAAATGAAAAACAGAAAGAAAAACTGTTGCTAGCAAATAAAAAAATGGTAAAGATACTATTGAATACTATTGAATACTTATTGAATCTTTTAATACTATTGAATACTATTGAAGATACTTATAAAGGAGTGAGAAAACTCGGTATATTCCTAGGCTTTTTGGCCCGAGTGCCATGTCATCAAGGTCTGGAGCACTTCCTTAGCTGGGTGAGATGCCATCATCTTAGTGACAGAGTGGGAGAGCCATCTGCTGCCAAACTGTGACTCTTATAGTGACGTACATTCGTTCACACTCCCAAAGTGCATTTGCCTCCTGCTGTGATGTCATCATAGTCGTACCCACCATTGATTACGCACTGTGGTGACAGATGGTTCCCCTCGTGCAGGCTTTGTCACTCTTAGGTGAGGCCTGAAAACTTTTTATGGTCTGTGTGCCATCACTTCATAACAGTTAGGAACTTCATACAGAGAGATTTGGAACTCACAAACCACAGATTGATTTACATTCAGCTCAAGAGTTGTCTTAGTCCATTCTGGCCACTGCAGCAGAAGCCCATAGCTGAGTAGCTTGTAAAGCAGGCATTTTTCTGGCAGCTCTGAATTCTAGAAAGTTCAAAATCCAGGTACTTTAGTTCATAGGGAGATGTTTTTGTTTGTTTGTTTGTTGCCACAGCCTTCCTTGGTAGGAGGTGCAAAGCAGCTCCTGTTGCTTCTCTCCTAAGGACACAAATCCCATCCATGAGAACAGCATATACATGACCTGTGTCCCTCCTAAATTCCCTGTCTCCACGACACCATCAGTTGGGATTCAGTTTCAACATGTGAATGTGGAGGAGAACAAACCTTATACAACAATGTTTCCAGAATATCATGTGCAAAGGGAGCCTACTAAAGATGGATATTGTTTATACCAACAGCTTCATTACTGAACCAAAGGCAGTTTCTCACTGACTTACCTAATAAGTACTTTCTAAAAATAGATCAGTGGACCTGTGTTGGTGCATATCGGGTTAGACCACTATCAGCCAGCTTCCTGTATTGGAGTTCTGGATTGAGTCCCAAGTGCTCTGCGCCTGGTCCAGCTTCCTGCCAATACACCTGGGATGGCAGCAGCCATGTTGGAGACCAGGGTGGAGTTCCTGGCTCCTGGCTTTCACCCGGTCCACACCTAGCTATTATAACCGTTTGAGGAGCCAACCAGGAGATGAAAGGTAACTTGCTCTCTCTCTTTCCCCCCTCTCCATCTACTTCTGCTTGTCTGTCTGTCTTTCTCTGTAGCTTTACCTTTCACATAATTAATCTTAAAAAATAGAAATGGATAAGTGTTTTGTAACTAAATTATGCAGTGATAAATATATGTCTGTATATAACTTTGTGTATGTGTGTGTGTCCACACACATGCATGCTTAAAATAAGCTCAAACACGTATCCTAGCCGTACTCTGAATTCCTAGAGCCTCAGTCCTGTAAGGGAGTACTTGATGAGTTCTGGCTACTCCATTTCTGATACGGCTTCCTGCTGCTATGCACCCCACCAAGAGTGATGACCACGCAGGTGCTTGAGACCCGCCATCCTTATGGGAGACCTCACTTAGAACCAAGCTCTTGGCTTCATGCTGGCCTAGCCCTGACTTTTGCAGGCATTTGGAAAGTGAACCAGCGGAAGGAAGTTCCATCTCTCTCTACTTCCATCCCTCCATCCTGGTGTCTCTCTCTCTCTCTCTTTCTTTCCTTCCCTCTCTCTTTTCCCTCAATATACATTTAAAATTAAAATGGGGTGAAAAAGGATAAATTTGAAGAAGAAAGCAGCCCACTGTTTTATTAAATTATTTAGGCTGTGTTTATCTGTGCATATATTGATATCTTTTATCCTGAAACTTAGATTCTGTGCAGTCCTGGAAATCTTTCCAGGGTCCTGTTACATGTGGGGCAATGTCAAGAAGGATCCCAGGGGCCTTGCACATGCACATCTTGCTGATCTACTCACTGTAACCCTGTAGTGTTGGCTCTGTGAGTGGAAAGTGGAAGGGGTTGTGCTCTAGAGAGACCATGAAGGTGATTGGTTCACATCTGCTTCTGGAGCCAGTCTCTGCTGTGTCAGAGCCCAGGTGCCCAGGGAAATATGCAAAGTCCAGTGATTGGCTCTTCCCCAGGGTACTCTGCACTTCCAGCCCCAGCATGGGCACGTACTTCCCTGTGCACTCCAAGTCTGGCACCTAGAACTCAGCAAGTCTCTCACCTTCATAGAGAGCCCTGGGTGACATCAGCCCGCAGCCAAGCAAGTAAGGCAGATCACAAAAGCAGAGAACATCTAGGTTCTTCACCACAAGGCCCAGCACCAACACATTATGATTGCTGCCATGTTCACTTGTGTTCTTGAATGCTGAGAGTGCAGACTGCAGTGCTGCCCCCTGACAGGCCACCTGGTTCTGAGCCAGTTAGACGCAACTGGAACCTGCTGCCACTCCAACACCCCCTCTGCCCAGGCAGCCTGTACCTGGCCCTGATGTCATTGCTCAGGTTTCTTGCCCACTGCCTATGACCCCATCAAGGGGAAGCAGGAGGGCTCAGACTAGAATTGGAGCAATGTGCATGGGCAGCTGTGGGCAGAGTCCAGATGTGTTCTAGAGTTTTAGTTACAGAATTTCCTGATTTATTCCGTGTGAGATAGGAAAAGGGGCCACATATAATCCCAGGTCCTCATCTGCGGGTCTGGCTTGAGTTCTGTATGTCTGGGGCTTTGATCTTCTCTGTCTGCTCTCCTGCTGCCCTCCATTGTAGCTCACTGCAGACTTGTTTGAAGTCACTCTCACTTTCTGCTACCCTCTTTGCATTTGAATACTCGGTGAGTGACTGCTGCTTGCTCTCCCTGTCAGCCTGGAGGTAAGGTAACAGCCTGGCAGTGAACACTGCTCTCTTTGAAGCATACCACAAAGGACTGGAGGCCTTCCCTGCCAGCTCTCCAGCTTGAAGCCTTTACAAGGAACTGATGGACAGCTTGTTGGCCCACGCAGACTGTTGTACATCTGCAGGCCTCAGTTCTGTCTCCATCTCTGTAAGGAGGGTCTCCAAGTACTGACCTCACCATCCCGGACTCAGTACCACCTTGGACACCTGCTTGTCCAGTACTGCCCTCAATCCCCTAGTTCTCAGTCCCCTTGAATGCTGCACCAATCCACGGAGGCGTGTATTCCTGGTGTCCACCTACAGCCACAGGCCATAAAAGATGCCTTTCCCCTTTGTTCTCTCTGCTCTGCTCTCACTTTCTCCCTGCCCCACTGTTTCTCCCTTGCTGAAATAATCAAGGCCTCTCATCTGGTCACTTGCTGTTTCTGTTGTCATGGGTTTATGAAAAAAGTTAGCAATCTCTCTGAGTGAAAGTTACTCTAGTCAACTTCATGAAGCCATGGATTCTCTCAGGTTAGGTAAGGTGGGTGTTTGGCAGGGCAGTTAAAATGCTGCTTGTGACGGCCGCACTCCACAGCTGAATACCTGTGTGTGTTCCCAGCACCAACTCCTGTCTCTGGCTGCCCATGCAGACCCTGGGGGACAGCAGTGATAGCTCAAGTAATTGAGTTCCTGCCACTGGGGAGGAATTCCTGCCCTGCATTGAATTCCCAGATGCCATCTTTGCTGCCCCTCTCTGCCCTGGACCATTTTGGACATTTGGAAAATGAATCAACGGATGGGATCTCTTTTCTTTTCATACCTCCTTTCTTGTTTTTTTTCCATATTGTTTCCTTCATGTTGAAAAGTGGGTATTAAGGGAGAAGGCCCACCAAATTTCCCACCCTCCCCAGGTCCCAGATGTAGGGTATGCTCTGAGGTTCTTGCTCAAGTGGTTTTGAGATTTCAACAGTTATGAATCGCTGCCAATCTCCTTTCAAAAAACTAAATTTAAAATGCTGTAAGGGACAGGTACTAGTATTCCATCTTACAGATGAAGAAACTGAGGACTTAGGGCATAGGTGCAGTCACGTGCCAGTGTGCAGTATGGCAGGCATCCAGTCTAAAGTCTGTTGAGTGACAGGCTTTGTGGGTCACCTGAGTATGCAGACGAAGTTGCCAAATCCCAGTGCCACTCGCCAGGCCCCTGACTCAGACCCCCCAAGGCTGAGGCTGGCAAAGCATGTCTTGATAAAGGCTTGGGTCATTAGTAAACTGTGTCAAGTACAACCATCACCATGTCTGGCTAGATTGCCTCTAAGTTTGTGTAAGCATTCTTCTAGCAACTCTATGTAGGACTGACAAATCCTAAAGTGTCAAACAAGGTGGTATGTAGGAATCTAAATTCTAAGATTTCACACATGAAAACAAGTCGATGATTGTTCCAGTTGGATGGGTTTTCAGTGATTTCAAAAGTCCAGGAAGGGATCCATGGAGTAGAATGTGCGATGGTCAGTGTTCACTGGCAGAAGACAATGTCTAAACTAGTTCCTTGAAGCAGAAGATTTCTCTGAAAAACGCATTGAGCAGTTGACAGAATTATTAGGCGAGCTGAAGAAGCAGTCCTTGGGCTGAATGTCCAAAGTCACTTGCAGAGCCAGGCCTTGGATGGCATTGCTCTGGCCAGGACCAGGGACCACCTGGGAGTGGTGCAAGGACGACAGAGGATGAGGCTCCCCAGGGTGGGAGGTGCCAAAGCAATGCCCACAGGGGGCTAAAGGCAACACGTGGTGAGAGGAACTCAGCTATGTAACAGCAGCTGGAAAAGGGAGGGATCTCTTGGATGAGTGCGGAGCTTGAAGAGGGATGTGCAGATTGGGACGAGCATCTACTAAGGACAGGTGAGGGGACCGTCAGTCCATGATGTTGGCAGCTCAGAGAACACCAGAAATGAAGATTTCAAGTTGGATCCAAGCTGCCAGAATCAGGGTGTGATTGAGTATTCAGCATCCTTGGACTCCAAGCAGAGGGGCGGCTCGTGTCGCTGCTCCAAAGAGGAGCTGACTTCCCGTTCAGGAGCGTGAGGGGGCCTGTGCTTGGGGTCCTTGCTGACTGTGACATGTCTTCTCTATGTGCCAGGTGCCTCAGTCAGGGACCCTGAAGTTGGCCCACCTGCAGGAGGGAACCTACACATTCCAGCTGACTGTGACCGACACTGCAGGCCAGAGGGGTTCCGACAATGTGTCGGTGACAGTGCTTCCCGTGGCCCACGCCACCAAAGGTGAGAGGGCAGTCCTTCTGTGACCAACCCAGAGCCGGCTGTCCATGGGAGGGGGATGCTTGCCTGGCACTTTACATTCCGACTGTGCAGTCTGTGGGCTCATCCATTCTAGTTTTTGGTGTTGAAGAAGAAAGTATAAAAATACAACAAAAATAGATTCTGTTTTGCTTTGGGATAAGTTGGCACTGCTAGGTTAGGGTGGAAGGAAGACGTAAGAACAGACCATGAGACGCCCTGGAGAAGCCCCAGTCTGTTCTTCTTTTTTTTTTAAAGGCTTTATTTATTTTTATTGGAAAGTTAGATATACAGAGAGAGGAGGAGAGACAGAGAGGAAGATCTTCCATCCGATGATTCACTCCCCAAGTGACTGCAATGGCCAGTGCTGCGCCAATCTGAAGCCGGGTGCCAGGAACTTCCTCCAGGTCTCCCACATGGGTACAGGAACCCAAGGCTTTGGGCTGTCCTGGACTGCTTTCTCAGGCCACAAGCAGGGAGCTGGATCGGAAACGGGGCTGCCGGAATTAGAACTGGCACCCATATGGGATCCCAGCGGCACATTCAAGGCAAGGACTTTAGCCACCTGGTCCACACCGGGCCCCCCAGTCTTTTCTTGACTTGGCTCCATGAATGACAGTTTCTGGCTTTCCCAGGAGAGGACTTTGTTGAAACTGATTCTGTTTCATTTGTAGGTTGGCAGCTCACAGCCAAGGAGCACAGACAAGACAATCTAACTCAGATGTAAAGTGGTGTGGGGGTTGAGGGCCTGGGAGGAAAGATGTTGGTTGCACTTTCAGTTGGATGGGAGGAATAAGTTTGAGTGATCTGTTACACATATAGTGACTGCAATCAGTAAGACTTCACTACAAAGGGACTTCAGAAAGCTTACAGGAGAAGGACATTTAAAAGTAAGTTTATTGGGCCTGGCGCGGTGGCGCGAGTGGTTAAGGTCCTCGCCTTGCACGCCCGGGATCCCATATGGGCGCCGGTTCTATCCCAGCAGCCCTGCTTCCCTTCCAGCTCCCTGCCTGTGGCCCGGGAAAGCAGTCGAGGACGGCCCAAAGCTTTGGGACCCTGCACCCACGTGGGAGACCTGGAAGAGTCTCCTGGCTTCGGATTGGCATAGCATCAGCCGTTGCGCTCACTTGGGGAGTGAATCATCAGATGGAGGATCTTCCTCTCTGTCTCATCTCTGTATATCTGCCTTTCCAATAAAAAAAAAATAATAAAAATAAATCTTAAAAAAAAAAGTAAGTTTATTTTGGTGCAAAAAAAAAATTATGTCCGTGCATAGTTTTTTCATTGTGCACATTTTCTATGAACTTTTTGAAAACCTCATGTACAATTATTATTTGTCAATTAAAAGTAAAATATAAAAACAGAATTAAATAAAGGCATGAATTGTTGGTAAAATAAATCATTCTAGAATTAAAAAAAAATTTTTTTAAGGAATTTGAGTTAGGGAGAGGCAGAAATCTTCCATCTGTGGGTTGACTTTCAAAATGATCCCAATAGCTGGGGCTGGTGCTCAGACTGAGCCAGGCCAGAACCAGGAGCCAGGGCTCCCTCCAGGTCTTCCAGTGGGTGCAGGGAGCCACAAACTTTGGCCTTCTCCACTGTCTTCTCAGATGTGTTAGCAGGAATTAGATTGGAAGTACAACAACTTTGACTTGAACCAGCACCCATACAGGTTGCCAGCACCACAGGCGGTGCCTTAACCGTCCATGCCACACCACCAAACCTCACTTTAGAACATTTGCAAGAGAAGGAAGGAAAGAATGCAGCTAAGCACTAAAGTTAAAATAAATTGGAATATGCAAAGCACATTGTATCCATTTAAAAGCACAATTTAAAAAATTTCCATGGATATTTTACACAGATGCATAGGCACAGTAATATAGTTCAAACTGTATGTACTTTCTCACATTCTGTTGCACAATGTAAAACTCATTTATTTCATTCATTTGTTTCTTATCTTCCCAAAGTCCTCATTTCTTGGGTGAGCTTCGGCTAACAATAATACCCATCACATGGGACTTGGAGCATGGGAGGATATTCCAGAGAGATCTTTCTCATACACAGTTGACTTGTGGATGAGTGCTGAGATTCTGGTCACGTGAAGATCCTCATTTCTTCATTTCTGGATTCAATAGTTGTGCTAGCACCACGGCCAGGGCAGTGCACTGGTAGATGCAGCCCCTGACCTCCCGTTGCTTGTAGTCTGTTAAAACCACTGTCATAGCCGTTGTAACCCTGGCATTTATCAGTATTCAGTATTTGAATGGTAATGAGTCAGCACTTTGAGGAAGAAGGGTCCAAGACTTGTAATGTGACTGTGACTTACTTGCACTATAGTGGATCTAGTTTTCCATCTAAAACAGGGGCCAGCACTGTGGTGTAGCAGGCTAAGCTTCTGCCTGTACACTTGCATCCTGTGGGGGTGCCTGTCTGAGTCCTGCCTGTCTTACTTCCCATCCAGCTCCCTGCCAGTATGCCTGGGGAAACAGCAGAAGACAGCTGAAGGGCTTGGGCCCCTGCACTGACCTGGGAGACCCAGAAGAACCTCCAAGTTCCAGCTTCAGTCTGGCCAAGCCCTGGCCATGGCAACCATTTGGGGTGCAAATCAGCAGATGGAAGATTCTGTCTGCGTCTCTCTGACTTTCAGATAAATTTATTTTAAAAAGATGCATGTGGAAAAAGTTATATGAGTAGCTAGAAATGTTAGCGTCCTGAGAAGCAACCGTGGTGACTTGCATTAGCAGCATTAGAAAATGTGCAGCCAGTGACTCCTGCTCAGTTCGTTTAAGCTTCCCACGTAGACCGAGGGAAATGCCATATGCAGAGGCCACAGCCAAACTCAGGTCCTCTCTTGCACTCTGGGGTCTTCCATGATGATCGACGAAAGTGGAGTGTGTCCAGGCCAGCCTAGGTTGGAGTGGTGCAGTAGACTTGGTGCAGCTGCACAGCAGAAGCAGCACCCTGTGCAGCGGGATCCCCGGAAGCATCACCTTTCCCATCTTCCCTGAGCAGGAGGACTCACCTGGGCAAGACCGAGTGAAGTGCTGTTGGGAGAAGCCATCCCCACAGAAAGTAGAAAATGCTGCTTTTGTATACTCTGTACTGTCATGAGCAGATGGCCAAAGCCTCGCCAGCCACTTGTTTACCTTAGTGGCTTTCTCAGGCCAGCTGCCCCAATCCCAGAGTGATCTGCCTGCTGTACATTTCCAGACCTTCTCCACAATGATAGTAAAATGTTTCTGAAGTAGCAGCAAGTGATGTGAACCACTTCTGATGACTGATGAGCCACTTGGGTCTAGATCTTACGTATATGTCTTAATATAGAAAATGAGGAAGAAATCAGTATAGTACTAACTGTATCTGGGATCACTTACTGGTTATAATGGAAGGACTTATTACATAAGCTGTGTGAAACATCACATGGAGACACTGAATAAACAGACAGGGAAAGAGCTGTGTAGGATGGATTTGAGGAACATCAGTAAATCCTGTTAGCTCTCAGGATGCCGTTAAGGAGGAGGAAGCCCCAACCTCCCATCAATGGTGTCTAAATGGGATCATTTTCAATATGTTCCATTCAGTGGATAAGTAAAATACAGATGTGAGGCTTGGAACAAATCATCATGAGAATTCCAATGCTATAATGCCCCCCAACACTAGCAAACTCACAAAACCAAGGTCAGTTTCTGTCACCAATTGAGAAAATAGAATGGCTTCTTACTTCCAGGAAAGAAAAAAAGAGAGAGAGAATATTTCTGCCACTTCTGTTGTATCTATTGGTCCTGTGATTAACTACACAGTTGTTATAGTAACCAAGATAACATCTACCAGAGTAAAGGTATCCTTTTTGTATGATCATCATTCTTTTAATTTTGAATACGTTACTATCTTGAACCCCTTTGCATGTTGGGAAAAAATATAACCAATTCTAAGAGCTAGCATGCAGTTCAACTGTGATCAGGATCAGCTCTCCAGACTGATGTATAAGATGCGCCCTAGGCATCTCCTGGACCAAGACACACTCCAAGTGCATGTGCTTAAGGTTCCACTCAAGTATGCATGCTGTGCTTGGTCATTTGTTCCTGGCAGAACATCATAGAAGTTGCCACTGTTCCCATCCTCCCAAAGAGAACCAGTGAGTCCCAGAAAAACTGTGAGACTCCCTGAGCCCTTCAGGTCCAGTCACTCAGTGCTTGTGTAGCTAAGTCTAACAAAATCACTTGTAATCACGCATGCATGAAATGGCCTCTGAGACAGTTTTGGAAGCTCCTGTGAGCTGACTACAGACTCATTATTTCATGGAAAAAGATTCACACCAGCAGCTTAACTGCAGTTAGGGTTTTACAGTAGTCAGCAAATAGGATCCAGATATAAAAAAGCTAAGTCCATAAATGGCATTACCCGGGAAACAAGAATGCAGGGCACAACTTAGGTGAATTGGTGGTTCATGCATGGTCTGCCAAGAGGTAGGGCTGTGTTGTCAGGTGGCCTACCAAGAGGCAGTAAATGGCCCAGGGTAAGGGGATCCCCAGCTTGGATAAGTGGGTGAATGCAGAGTAGAAGACTGAGGGGGCATGCAAGTGGATGGAGGAGATCACCATTGCCTCATTGGCCGTGCAAGCTCGGAACACAGTCCTCAAGCAGTTACCTGCATCTGTTTACCTCAGTACATTTTTTACCTGTATCTCTTTACCTCAATACATTTTTTAAAAAGATTTATTTATTTTCATTGGAAAGGCAGATATGCAGAGAGGAGGAGAGACAGAGAGGAAGGTCTTCCATCCAATGATTCACTCCCCAAGTGGCTGTAATGGCTGGAGCTGAACCGATCTGAAGCCAGGAGCCCAGAGCTGCTTTCCAAGTTTCCCACGTGGATGCAGGGTCCCAAGACTTAGTACCATCCTCGACTATTTTCCCCAGCCACAAGCACGGAGCTGGATGGGAAGCTGGGCTGCTGGGATTAGACCAGCACCCATACATGATTCCAGCACATTCAAGGCAAGGACTAGCAGCTAGGCTATCACACCAGCCATCCAAGTACATCTTGTACACATTGTTTGTCTGGCTGTGCTGGACGTCTGAGCTTTGCCTGTGTTCCCATGACCTGGGATTCATTTATAAACAGGGTGCCTGGGTACTTGCTCACGCTACCACTTCTTCTGTGACGACGGCTGCTGCATTGACATCACCTTGGCTTGTGACGGAGAGCGGCAGTGTCCCGATGGCTCTGACGAGGCTTTCTGTCAAAACTGTGAGTTGGCTGTGTCACCTTGTCAGGAGAGGAGCTGGGAGGGGTGCAGAGGGCATGCCTGGGTTCTTAGAGTCAAATAAGAGAGCAGTGTTCTTCCTCTTCCTGTTTATAGTTTACCTATATATGTATGTGTGTAAACTATGTGTATATATGTTTATAGTTTACATGTAAGTTTATGTGAAAAAAGATGTGTGTTTTAAAAAAAGATTGAGATTCTACTAATTTGAAAGGCAGCTTGACACAGAGAAAGGGAGAGATGGGGAAGACTTCTGTTTGCTAATTCTCTTTCCCCAAATGGCTATGTTAAGCCCTGGCTAGCCAAGAACTCTATCCAGGTCTCTGATGCAGGTGCAGGAATAGGGTTAATACTTGGGCCATCTTCCACTGCTTGCCCGGGCACATGAGCAGGGAGCTGAATCAGAAGTGGAGCAGCCAGAACTCAAGCCTGAGCTCACGAGTTGCTAGCGTTGCCGACAGCAGCTTAGCTCACTGTGTTACAGGGCCAAGGCCAAAAGCTATGGGTAAGTAAGCATTCACTATGGGTCTGTGCTCTGAGTTATCAGTGTCCAATTATTGGTATTGCTTGTGTTTTTAAAACTTTTGAACTTTTTAGATTCTCCATATCCTAAAAAATGCTATATCATATATGCCTTTTTCAATAAATGGCAATGAATTAATGTTCTGGCAAAATTTAACTTTTGATCCAAAGGTGTAGCCGAAGTCAGAGCTTAAATATGCTATGTAAGTCACATACACACATATACATGTCCTCCCCTCCCCCCCAAGAGAACCACAGGAAGCTCAGTGAGGCAATGGTTGGAGGAAGCACAAAGTCTGAGAACCTTAGGGTGATAATTTTCTCTTTGTTCCTTTCTTTATACACAGCATTTGAAAAACTAGTGGTTGAAAAAAAAATTAGGTTGATCATCCATTCAAAAACCAGAAAAAATAGTCTTAAGGCTGTTTGTGCCTTATTAAGTGGGTTATTATTCCAAAGTAGGTGCAATTTTAAGTCAACTGCAAATAATTTTATGAAAAAACGCAGAAAGGAAATATAACAGCTAACTAAGCTCTTCTATGCTTCAGTGGGCCTTGACCGAAAGATGGCGACCCACACAGCCACTACTCCTGCCCAGCCAAGAACGACAGCACTGATCAGAGATGCTGAGGATGTGTCCTTGTTGGAAAAGTCCCACGAAGCCACCGCCCCAGGCCAGCCAGCTGTGGTGTCCCACACAGAGAAGAACCACTTGGCCTTCGCAGGGACGGAAGGTCAAGTCATTCCTGTGATGCCAGGTGAGTTCTCAGGTTCAAGAGCCACATGAGTGTGGTTCCAAGCTAAGCTGAGCTTATACTTCATTGTAACTCTTCTTTCTTTTGGAAAGAATAAAATTTGACCAAAAAGCAAGTGTAGGGGGAGGAAAAGCCCAATAAATTGCTTATTTGTAGGAAGACCTGCTTAAATAAAGGCTTCTCTCAGCATCCATGGGGAGTTGGTTCCAGGACCTCCCACGGTACCAACTTCCATGAACCGCTCGAGTTGTTTATATAGATGGGACAGTAAGCGCGTATAACCTGTGCTGAGTCCCATGTGCTTAGCTCTAGTTTGCGGTGCTACCAACTCGGTGTTAAGTGCTGTAGGAAGCATTGTATGCCATATTGTTTATGGAGCAGTATGAAGAGTGTTTAGTACAGAAGTTTTTCTCTAAATATTACCAGTCCCTGGCTGATAGAATCCACGGATGTGAAACCCTTGTGCATGCGTACATATGTGCTCCAGGGACACCACCAGAGGAATGTGTTAGTACGTCCAAGTTGGGAAGAGAGGACGCCTGGTGGATGGACACTGGTGCCCAGGATATTCTAGTTTAGGTGATTCTGAGCTGCCGCTGCAGAATCCTGTGATGTCTGGCACACGCCATTACTCACAACATGTGATTGTCAAGGTGTTTGTCAGCTTGAATCTGCCACCTGTGCTTGAAGTCCAGTGTTAGGCCCCGTGATTGAACCATTTCCATCCTGTTTTTATTTTCAAATAAGACTAGTAAGATTTTAAAATATATTCAAGGTACTAATGGATTACTGATTCCATCCTATGAAATTTCTTCTCCACGTGCTTAGATTGTATGATTATGTGACATATGAGACACAAGTATACATGACCACACTTGGGTAAGCTTTTGTAAATGCCATTGCTGTCTCCAGTCTCTGCATACATTTTACTGAAGTGATTCATCACTGTTTTAATTAATGTCCATTGTCCAAGATATGGGAAGATCCAAAATAATTTAAAACACTACCCTTGACTGAACACTACTTTTAAAAAATGCTATGTGTTTACTTGAGAGGTAAACAGGCGGAGAGAGCCATATGCTAGTTCATTCCCCAGAGGTTTAGAAGATGGGAGCCAGGTACCCAACCCGCATCTCCTGAGGGAGTGACATAAAGCAGCTTGAGAACTGACGTCTAGTGCAGCAGTTCAGCCTGATTCTTTAAGGAACGTGATGGAACCTGGGCGAATCCGTGACCTCCCTGTGAAGCCACGGTCACCTGGGCAAAACTGTGACCTCCCTGTGAAGCCATGGTCACCTGGGTGAATCCATGACCTCTCTGTGGAGCCACAGTCACCTGGGCGAATCTGTGACCTCTCTGTGGAGCCATGGTCATGGCTTCCCTGTGAAATAGTCCAGAGCTTCCTTATTCAGCTTCTGTTGCAGGGACTAGAGTAAGCAGCTTTGACCTTTAAATTCATGCAAAACTTTTTTTTAAGATTTATTTTATCTTTATTGTAAGTCAGATATACTGAGAGGGAGGAGGAGAGACAGAGAGAAAGATATTCCATCCATTGATTCACTCCTCAAGTGGCCGCAATGGCCTGAGCTGCGCCAGTCTGAAGCCAGGAGCCTCTTCCTGGTCTCCCACATGGGGGCAGGGTCCCAAGGCTTATGGGCCATCCTTGACTGCTTCCCAGGCCACAAGCAGGGAGCTGGATGGGTCTTCTGGGCCCACAAAACATTTTCTTTTAATTTTTGAAAAAATTTTTTACTAAGAAAGGATACCCATAAAGGCTGTTTTGGAGGATTTTCCTCCCCACATGCCCTAGATATTTCATATGTATCTGGGCTTTCCTTTTGAAACCACAAGATCACACTTCCTGGATGGTCATTGGATTGTGTTAAATCCTGAGAGCCAGCACATCTGTTTAGCCGCTTGTTTTATGATGCTATAGCATACCTGAGGCATGTACCCTATAAAGAAAGGGGTTTATTTTTCTTGAGTGCATCGTCTCTTTGGCCTCCGTGAAGGTTCCAGGAGGGGTAGTGCTGCAGAGGAGGGCGTGTGGAAGAGGTCACATGTAGGGACACCAAGCCACAGGGCTTTGGGTGTCAGACTTGCTGTTTCTATAATCACTTGCTTACTTAGAAACTGAGAGAATACAATCCCTCCCAAGGGTAGCATCCCCCGACTCTGATGAGCACTTTCCTAGGTCCTGCCTGAAGATCCTGAAACCACAACCCCACCACCCTGGGAGCCAAGCTTCTGTGATGTACGTCCCTGGGGTTCGCATTTGAGCCATGCCCACACCTCAGCATTTGCCATCTTACAGCACGGCGCTAGGATGCTGTTCTGTTCCTGCATGGAAGGAAAAGCAAGGGTGGGCAAGCTCCCTTCACACCCACCAGGATGCTCAGGTGGCTGATTCCACGGTTCTTCAAAGGGGAGCCGTTCCTCGGGAGTGGAGTTGCTTTCTGCTGAGGCCAGTCTCCTTCAGCCAGCTGTCAGCAGCAGCTGCCTCTGAAGTGCACCCTGTGATGCTGGGGCTCTCACAGGAACAGCCCTCTTAGAAGGCCTTCTCTGGGCTCACTCATTCTGAAAGTTTTGGGTACTGAACTGGGAGCAGTTTCTTTGTTATTGTTTGAAATTTATAGATGATCAACATAGCAAATTCTGTCTTGTAACCCCCCACAACCCATATGTAAGTTGGTCTCAAAGAACCACTTAATTTTAAATAAAATGACATGGCTCATTTTATCTAGAAATTAGTTAAATACCACCAGCATCCTGACAGGTTTTACTGTTACTCTGCTGTCGAGTAAAAATATGTTTGTAAGAAATGATATTTTATTATTCCACTTTCATCAGAGGTTGTTGGTACCACAGTATTCAAATGAGCAAAGAACATGTCAGGGAGGAGCTTTGTGCAGCTATCATAAGGCCTAGATTACACATAGGCCAAGTTTCAAAAGTTGTGCTAGTACAACACAAAAGTTTCACAATACGAAAGTTTCCTGAAGGAACTTTCTCTCACCTGCTTCACAGACCTGTGGTCTGATCTCCCACTGAACAAACAGCAAGAAAGGACCACGCTAGTGTTTGTGCTGATTGGGCCACAGGAAACTCCATAATGTTCTGGAAAATGGTAGCCATTTTCCCAGCTAGTGTTTCCAGCTTTGTTTAAAACAGCCTCCATGGAGCTGAGTCTTGAAGGTGGCGCTGCAGGGCACGGAGGGACAGCCCGAGTGTGGAGCACCGCAGGTTTCTCCCCAGATGCCAGCGCTGAGCACACGATGTCAGGCCTCTGCTGCCAGCTGCTTTGGGCCACCGCCTGCCTGGCCGCACTCTGCATCCTGTGCGTGGACTCAAACAGTACCTTGGCCCTGGCCCTGACCCGGAGCAGGACTAACACCTCGACTGTAATGCCCACCCTGATAGTGCTGACGTCCAGGACACCTGCCCCGTTGACCAGCACTCCAGCAGTAGAAACGTGTGCCAGCCGTGGCAGCTGTGCTTCCTGTTTTAATACTAGTATCGATGATGTTACCTGTGTTTGGTTAGAATGCAAAGAAAAGAGCTACTGTTCACATAATTCATCAGCTCAGTGCATAGTGGTACACAGCACTACCACTCCAACTGCTCCAGTGCCAATCACTTCTACAGCTAAAACCACAACCCGGCCTGCAACTTCTACCACAGCCACTACCTCAGGTGCAACAAATACCACTTTCACCCTAACCTTATCACCTGGGCGGAAGTCCACCTTTGATGCAGCCAGTTTCATTGGAGGAATTGTCTTTGTCTTGGGGTGTGCAGGTTGTAATTTTCTTGCTCTATAAATTCTGTAAATCTAAAGAACAAAATTGCCACACTTTGTAAACAGACCCATTGAATTCACAAGGACCGGCGATTTGTTTGAGTAACTCACTGGAACCAAGAAACTCTGAAGAAGTCCCACGTGGAAGACGCTATTCCAGGATCTTTACATTTCCACAGGATACATACAGGATTGTGCAGGAACATCGTTCTGGAAGAAAAATAGGTTAAACCATTTGCTCAACAGGAATATTTCCAATATTCTGCATAAATCCTTGTGGCTGTTGCCTTTTATTTTAAATGGCTGCTGCCTTGGGTTATGTTTCTTTTTTTAACATGCCAAATGTAACTTTCTGTAAGTGATGGAAAATGTTGTTATATCTAGACAACCTCATGAGTCTGTCCAGGTTAGTTATGTTGAAGCCTCAGAGCTACATTACGTTCATGCAAACCCAAAATATAATGTAGTGACCAGAATTGAGAAGAGTGTGTGCCAAATGAGCATCAGTCAGGTGGATTTTGGTTATTTCAAAAGTGGAATACATGTATACATTCTGCTGTATAAGCTGTATCCTTAAACTTGAAATTTGGTGCTTGATAAGTTAATTTTTCTACATTAGAAATAAGGTGCCATGCAGGGAATTACATTCCAGAGTTAAAGAAGTAAAAGAATACATAGCATTAGTGCACAGGTGTGACAGGTTATTGTTCATAAATATATAAAGCACCTTATGTCATTGAGAAATAAAGAGCTGTGCCTTAAAAGAGAGGTAACTGTGTGTGATTTCTCTGTTCTCATTAAGGTAAATGGTCTGAGACTATCATTGGAAGTGAGCAGTAGTAAACTGCTTTTAGACGTTGTACTATTGAATTTAATGGAAAACATCTAGGGTGGATAAGGTATTTCAGAGCTGAGAAACTAGAGCTAAAGGATCTTACACAAATTTGAAAGCCCTTCCGGACTGAACCTCCCACTGTTGTTCTTTATGGCTGTTGAAGAGTACGGAGGGAACAGGTTTAACAGTTCCCTTTGTGCTTCAACAAAGTACCCTAACACTGTTGCACCTTGAAAGGATTTCCACCAAGCTTTCTTGAAAAGTCACTTCTTTAGTTAGGCAGGAATAAAGTAAATTCCAGAATTACGTAGCCTTTAGGTAAGACAATCATTTTAGGTTTTCCAGACAGCAGATGTAACCAGTGTAATTTAAAAAACCCTAGGGGTTTTTAATTGATCAGACTGTAGATTTTTAATGATGGTTTTCTGAATGAATGTGGTTTTTCTCTTTTCTAATCTCCCTTCCTGGTTTGGATTCCTATTGTGTAATAGGCATGCATAGTTTAATTTCCCTAGCTGTCTTATAGCAGTTTTTCTCTAGCTGCCTCCATCCCCTCCCAGTGGGTCACTTCTCCCTTGGCCTTTGACACATTGGATGAGCTCAAAGGCTTTTCTTAGTTTAAAATGGACTTTGGCTTTTCTAGGTCATAAAGGTTTTTTGTTGTAGTTTCTTTAGCCTTTGTTGGCTGAATGTAGCACTTGGTTTTCAATATTTTGTAACAGAAAATGACAAATTGCTTTGGTTCATTTTCTAGAATGGAAGTCCCTGCATTTAGCAGATGGTGTTAAAGGTTCTTAGAAGTGAAGATTGACTCTTTCCTTTGTTACTGGTAGAGCTGAAGTTTGTTTTACTCGCACATTGTACATATGCCCAATGTTTTCAAATGCCTTAATTGTTTAAAATCTCTGGCTTCAAAGGTTTTTGGGGAAAGGTAGGTTTACCTCACGTTTTTGTGTTTCCATTGGTAGTACTACCCTAGCTGCCTCAGAGGTTTATTATGGTGCCATGGCTGTTAGCTTTTACAGAGTGCCACAAGATTCATTTGAAAATTGCAGTTTCCATTCTCCCTAAGGTGGTAAAATTAGCTACAGTGTAGTTATCATTTCCCTGAGCATGTGTTCCTTGCCACACATTAGTGTCCACACAGGCAGCAAATGTGAAAATGCAGCTTGCTTTGAGGCTTCCGTGTTTTCTAGCACGCTCTGACAACAAAAGCATTCTGTTGAAACCCCTGAGATTTTGCAGATCTACAAATGAGCTCTTGTAACAGAACTCAGCAGCCTTTTTCTGACCCTCTCCCGCCTCTTACCCCGTACCGCTTTAGCAAAGTGATATCTTGAGCCATTAATAATTTTTGTGTGTGTGTTTTTTAATCCTGAAGATCTACACAAACCTCTTCCGATTTGTCATCTGATTTGTCCCTGCAGGTGTAGTTGTATCGTGTACCTTATTTTACTTTTTAGATACTTGTTGCACAGGCAGACACTGCTGTGTTTAGAAAATTCTATTTTAGTTCGGCAAAACCAGTCTGTATCATGTGCCAAACTGATTTAAAATAAGTTCACATGTTTATTGAATTAAAAAAAAATGGAACAGCTTCCATCCAGCTGCCCAGTCCCAGTGTGAGTGTGTGCCCATGCATGGTAGAATCCAGTAGATCATGCAAAAGAGAAGAAAAATGTTTTCCTGCAACATGAACTCTTCTAGAAGGATCATTATATAAAAAAAAAATAGTTGCAGAGGATCTCACCGTCAGGGCTTTGTTCTGGTTGCCCGTGCTGGGTAAGCCTGTAAAGCAAAGCCGGCCTCTTGTGTTCCATGTGCTGGAATCAGGCGGCCTGGGGGTTATGGTGGATCCCTTCATGGAATGTGCACAGGAGAAATGCACCTTTGAAATACCAGGGCCAGGCACGGTGTCCTCCCAGGGTTCATGGCCGCGGTACCTCCTGAGGTCTCCTAAGCATATTCTCCTCCCCAGCATCTGATCCCTCCCCCTTCCTTCATCGCTCTCTTCCTATCCTCAGGAACAAGAGTTTCCAAGAAAATACAATTTAGTTTGGACAGATAAAGATTCAGATGGACTTGTGCAGTGTTTTAAACAGCATCCCCCTTCAGCCCCCCAGCCCCCGCCACCAGGTCTAGAACCTGTGCCAAGTACAGTTCACTGATCTCTTACCACAGCTGTGATGGAGATTTGCCCGAGCCCTTTCTAAGGAAGCAGTTAAAGGCTGTGTATAAGTAAGTAAGTGCCATACCTGCTAGGTGTGTGCTCCGTATTTGTAAACAGAACCAGCTGTGAGTTCTTGGAGCCCAGACCTCCTTGGTGCTGGAGTGATCTGGGAGCGGTGGAGTACAGTGGAGAGACTCAGTCCTGAGTCCTGATTCCAGCAGCAGAATTGCCAGGTAGTTAAGTTCTCTGAATTCCATCTCCTTCCGTATAAGGGGGTAAGGTTGTTTGCAGGAACTATTATCTGTAAGTACAGCTTAGATCTGTCAGATGTAGTAGCAACTGACGTTCGGAAAGTAGGGCATCATTAACTCCAAAGCAAAGTACTGTACAGTCTCTTATATCATGATCAAGCAAAAGCTCTGGGGGCATTCACAGAAACTGACCGTATGTAAGAAAATAACCCAAAGAATTACTTAAAACCGTAAAATATTGTTGAAGATCCTCAGTTTTCTGTCTCCTGTGGTGACGAACAGGAAAGTGTTGCGTGGCAGGGAGCATTAGGGAGGCTTTCAAGGAGATAAATGTGTCGGCGCTCCCTCCGTTTAACCCGTGTCTGTGACGATCATTTTTAATCACTGATATCTGGCTGTTGTGGGTACTCAGATTAAATTTACAATCTTTTGTTTTCCAGTTAACATTATGATAGAAAATCCCCAGGTAGTCTCAATATAAATTATCAAATAATTTTTATGTATCACCTTTAAGTAGTCTTATTTCAATCTCATGAATTACAGATATTTCTGTTGATGCCATGTGAGTTTAAAAAAAAGCTTTAACCATCTTGGCAGTAGATCGCTTCTGATTCCTTGTCACTAAGTGTTAGAACATTCAGATTCAGCCTTGAAGTAACACTATGAATGCTAACTACCCCTAGTCTGTATTATATTAATGTAATAGATACAAATGTTTTAAAGCTCTACATGGGAAAAAAGATGGCACAGACACAGCCCATAAAGATCCGGGGATAAAACCCCCAAATTGGATCTTTCTTAGTGTGTTCCTTCAGTTGTATATAATAGTACTAGATGTGCTGGTTTTCATCAGCAAACTGGAAGACACACTTGAACTTATTAGAATCCCGTTCCAGTGACCTACTTAGTACCTGGGTGGACCCACGTGAGAACTGGATCCTGAGTCTACACAGAAAAGCCTAAGGTTTTGGTACCCCTGCCAGAGTGGTGGGGGAAGCCCACAGCATGGCTGAATGCCTTTTGCATGCTCATGATGCGTTCCTCAGAGGCAAGCCTTTCCTGACTTTCTGCTTGCCTGGGGTGAGGTCCTGAGACCACCTTGGGCTCTGGTCTTTCCTTCCCTCTCCAGGGGACAGAGCTGGAGTTGCAGCCCTTCCTTCCCTCTCTGGCTGGTGGTTTTGGATCAGCCACATACTCTGCTTTCTCAAACTGGCCGCACCTAGTGTCTAGTGCTTTACTATCAAACAAGGGCTTGATGTTTATTAGAGAAAGAAATCCTGCAGGCCCTTTCTTTAAGTCCATCTTCTAAAAACCAAGTAAGTTGAAGTGTCAATTCTGTATCAAGTAAAAGGGATTGGTTTTATTGTACATTATTTCCTGGAGTCTCTGATGCAGCTTCAGTGTATGCCCTGTTTATTTTCTGCAGACAGCAGTTCTCCAGCAAAGCAGAGAAAGGAGGAAAAGTATATTTTTGAGTCGAAGAGCAGTCGAGGAGAACACCCAGCTCCAGAAGCAGGTAAATGTGTGTTTTGGAAACTCTTGCCACCGGGTGAAGACAGGTGCGGGACTTTTAACCACTGTGCCACAGGATGAATGTTGTCCAGACAATGTGATGCCTCGTGAGTGGCTCCACTAGCAGAAGTGACAACCTTGGACGGGTCCTAACTCTGGATCTCAGTTTCTGCATTGATGAGATGAGGACGGTAACTGCAACTGCCTTACAAGGTTGTTAGGGAGAAGAAATGGACAGTTCATGGGAAGCATTTAGAGCCCTGCTTGCCTGCATGATGAGCCACCTTTATAAATGATGGCCATCGTTCCTGAGTTACCTACTATTCAGAAGGGGTAAAGGGGGTTGGGTGTGCTTATGTACAGCAGACAGACTGCCACTCGAGATGCTCACATCCTGTAGCAGGTGCCTGGATCCTAATGCACACGTTGAAAGGCAGCAGTGACTCAAGGAGCTCATCTTGCTATCCATGTGGGAGATCCTGAGTTCTAGGTTCCTGGCTTTGGCCTGGTGCGGCCTGGTGCAGGCTGCTGGGGAGTAAACCAGCAGATAGGAGATCGCTCCATCTGTCTCTGCCTCTCAAAAGGAAAGAAGCAAGGCCTGGCGCGGTAGCCTGGTGGCTAAAGCCCTCATCTTGCATGCACCAGGATCCCATACGGGCACTGGTTCTAATCTCAGCTGCTCCACTTCCCACCCAGCTCCCTGTTTGTGGCCTGGGAGAGCAGCAAAGGATGGCTCAAGGCTCTGGCCATTGCAGTCACTTGGGGAGTGAACCAGTGGACGGAGGATCTTTCTCTCTGTATCTCCTTCTCTTTGTTAATCTGCCTTTCCAGTAACAATAAATAAATCTTAAAAAAAAAAAACAAAAAGGAAAGAAACAAGATTTACTAATAAAAATAAAACAGTATGAGAATGCCTCATTGTCTGTGATGACAGAAGACCATGAACTGGAGGAATTTAGGCAGTGCAGGGACTGCTTACCCTGCTTCTGTAATTTTGGTAGATCTTAATCAGAAAGAAGATGCTTTGGACATAGTTCTGTAGAAAGGCAGGCTTAGTCCTCTGTATCCTACAAACTAATTCATAAAGATGTAGGAAAGCAACATACGATTCTCATAGATCTAAACATTGGAAAACACTTTTGATGCCAGAAGTCTTTTTAGTATCTAGACAATATTCAAATTCAATTTTTAGACAATAGGTGTCTGAGAATAAGGCAGACGTCACTCCCTGGAAGCCCCTCTGCTGGTCTGCTGGCCTCGTGGACTCAGCCGGTCTCTTCCTCCATCGATCTGGAAGGAAAGCAGCCTGCCTCTTGCCACCATGCAGGGATGGGTCTGGCAAGTCTCAGTTCCTGTTAGCCAGTGACCACTCTGCTTGCAGGCCCTTGTGAACACCACTCCCATCGTGTGAACGGAATGTGTAATTCAGTCACCTTAACTGGGTATGAGGACATTATCATGGTGCATTTCAGAGGAAGATGGTAAACTTCCAAATCTCAAAGTAGCCAAACTAAAAACACAGAAGAAACTATGGGAACCAAGGATTAAAAAGTAGACAATAACTTTGGATATTCATCAAATAACTTTAATGGGAGAATTCCTCTTCTGCATCTTTGAGAGTCATATTTGATGGCCTGGCACCTTGTATCTGGTTTGGCAGGTTGGAATGTTGTCTTAGCTTGTTGGCTCATTGTTAGTCTAGGATTAGAATAGTTAAATCTGAGCCCTGGAGTTGGGGTTGGGTCTCCCAGCCCAGACCTTCTCAGCCTCCACACTAACTTCTCTTCGAACTAGACAGACGCATCTTGAGGTCTGGAAGCTGTTGTCTTAATTTCCTGCCCCCTGGATAGGTAGACCTGAGCTGACTGTTGAGTTTCAGTTCCTAAGAAATGGCTTAGGGCTCCTGGGATTTCTGCCTCCCTTAGCTTGCCCAAGCCCCTGGCACCTTCATCTGCAGTGCAGTGGCAGTGCTAGCACCTACGGGAGCTGTTCAGCTAATGCCTGCAAGTGCTTGTCGTGTGGGAGGTGGCGGCCATCCCTGGTTCCGGTCACTGACGCCTCCTGTTGGCCTCTAACCTCTTCACAGGTGCCGTGCTGCCCCTGGCCTTGGGTCTGGCTATCACTGCTTTGCTGCTTCTCATGGTCACCTGTCGACTTCGACTGGTCAAACAGAAACTTAAAAAAGCTCGTCCCATTACGTCTGAGGAATCCGACTACCTCATAAATGGGATGTATCTATAATAAATGTAACCTAAGAAGCTTGCGACAGGGACATGTTTCAATTCCAGTTTATGCATACATTAAGCTCTGGCATTTACAACTGCTTTATCCATTTTTTTCTTTTTTTGAATGGCCTAGATTCTGCAAATCTCAAATCGTTGTCTTTGTTGTAGAAAAATGTTTTTCTTAGGACGTATGTGAAATATTTTAAAACTTAGCAAGTCGTAGAGTGAAACACTTTTGCAAATCTAATTCTGATTTACATATATTGTCCATGAAAATAGAAATTTGTAGTTAGCCAGGGCAAAAGGTCAGTCTATGCAGAGGTGAATTCCAGGTTGGAGGGCAGTACTGACTTTTTGTGTTTTAGGAGCCACCTGTTGGCCCCTTTAGTACAGCGTTCCCTGGTTCTGTGGCCCAGATCTTTCCCCCTTCAGAATCCGTGGTTGAGAGTGGATCTCAAGAGAACTTCGTCCATTAGTGAGAAGTTATCAATGGCAAGGGCGTCTGAGTGTAACTTCAAGGAAGGTGACTCTGGAGTCCTCCCAGTACCTGTGGTATCAAGGCATGTAGGTGGCTGTTCCCTTCAGCTGATTTGAAAGGAAAAGCTCAGAATTTGGATGGCTGCTCCCTGGTCCAAAACATAACAATCCACTGATAACCATCTTTCCCCAGGAGTCTTTGTGGGTGAAAGAGAAACATGTAAGTTAAAAAGGAGAAATCGAGAGGATCCCTGGTCATAGCTTTTGTAAAATTGTCACTGTGTCTAAGTGTCAGCAGGTTCCTCCATGCAATGGAATGAGCCAGCTCTTATTTTTTAATATTATTAAGTGTTCTAAATGGGTAAACGCCAAAGCCAGGTTCATGTACTTCAACAGTGGGAGGGAGCGATCTTTGAAATTCACCCTTCTAGACAACGGGCACATCTAGCTTAGGATCATTCCCCATGTCATCCCCATCCTCCCTTGATACCAGGTTATACACACTCTAGAAATTATTGTGCTAGAGGAATGTATAGTTTAGTGCCTGTCCATGATCACATAAGGTGTTTCTTTTCTGTTTGTTTTTACCTTAAGTGGAAAATCTTAAAACAGTTGAAAAACGCTCCAGGATCTACTACTCTTTATTTTTAGACTCAAACTGAAAGAAGGTTGTTCCTTTGATAAAGGGTTTGATTTGGGGGGCGAGGGGAAGGTGGTTTAAGCCAAAATATATTCACAAAAGGAAAGTTCGTTCTAGAAGAACAAAATAATTGTGTAGCATTTTTGTTCCTTGAGAAATTCTAGCAATTCTTTGGAATTGAGTGAATCTAAAATTTTCAAGGGCAGTTTAAAGTGAACTGCGTGAATGAACTTGATGTGTATCCTCTGTAGTGTTGTGCAGATTGTTTTTATATAGAGAGATCATCTATAGCCATATCTAATAAAATAAAAACTGTTGAGGCATGCTTTGTTCAGCATATCTTTTATACATGAAAACATTGCAACACAATTTAGTGTCACTATGGCATTGAAATACTTGAGAAAGGTGCCCCATATCTATGTAAGCAATATTCCTCTAATAAATTGTATTTTGTTCTTAAGCCTTTTTAAAACCTTTTACTACCAGTCTGTAAGCTGCTGTTGACTGAGCGCTTCCCGTATTATTTAGATCCAATCATCCCAATCCTATTTAGCAAAGGAGGAAACTAAACAGAAAAGCAGCTCACCCAGCGTCACATGAAGCATGTTGTGGGGCGGGGGTGGGGGGGGGGACTTAAGGCACACAAAAATATTTTCAGATAGAATGGGATTTTTAAAACATTCTTCTTACATATGATTATATGATTCGAAGAGTTCTACATCTAAGACATTAATTTTGGGGGGCAGGTGTTGCAGTGCAGTGAGTTCAACTGACACTACAGAGGCCCACATTGACATCAGAGTAACACTCAGGAGTTCCAGCTGCTCTGCTGCCAATCCAGCTTCCTGCCAGTGAATCCAGAGGCAGCAAATGATGGCCCAAGTGCCTGGATCCCTGCTGCCCCAGTCAGTGAGAGATGCACATGGCATTGCCATCTCCTGGCTTCAGCCTGCCCTTCACCTGGCCTCTGCGAGCAGGTGAGGGATACGCCAGTGGGTAGGTCTGTTCTTGCTTTCCTGCTCTGCCCTTCTAGCAGGAGAAACGAAACATTCTGAAAAAAAAAAAAACTATCTCGGAGGGAAAGGTGTCCACAGTTTCCCTCTGAAGCACACTTGTGTTTATGTCTCACGTGTTTCCTAAGAAGGCCTACAGAAACCCTCAGGAAAATGCTCCAGCCTTCCACAGCATCTTCATGTTTCTAGTGTCCAAGAAGCAAGAGTTGGCCCTCCCAATGTCTTCAAAACCGAGGCCCTGGCTCAGTGGTTCCCCGGCAGGTTCTGCTCTCTACACAGCAGCTCGTGGAGGCAGGTGATACTGAAGGTCTTAGCTGGATTTCTCCTGCACACACCATGCGTGCCCCAGAACGCATGGCCCCTAAACCACGCCATCTCAGCCTGCAGCTGTAACCAGGACCCCGTCAGTTCCAGTGTAACCAGTCTCATGTTCAGTTGACATTCTTGGGGAATCGTGTCCCTTTATTCGTAGTGGAGCTATTTCAATCATTTGCTTTCAAATCTCCAGATTAATTACAAGTTCTTGCTATTAAAACTAGATGAGGCTGCCTACCAAGGAACTGCCGGGGCTGAGTATAAACAGGGGAAAGCTTAGTTTGCAGTTTGCTGTTCACGGATGTCCCGCTTGCTGCCTTTCTAACCACCTTTGTGGGTATTGGCCCCGTGCTGCAAGCGATTTTGCTGTCCCAGAGTATGGTATTCTGCAAATAAGGTGCATATTATAAGTTATGGCTGCTTTTATAGCTAGCTTCTTTGAAATTCTTTGGCTAAATATGCACCCACCAATGGTGAAAATAAAGTCTGACATCCCAGAGCTCTCTTCAAGGATGAGTTGGAGTTTCCACATTTGCTTTGTTTAGGTCAAAGTATGTTTGTCTTCCTACCTCCTTTATATCTCAAAGTACATCAGTTTTCAAACTGGAGTGTAAATCACAAAGAGATCAACTTACTCAAATTTCTCTTTAGAAAGTTACTTCAGGGGCTGGTGCAGTGGCATAGCATATTAATCCTCAGCCTGCAGTGCTGGCATCCCTATGGGTGTTAGTTCTAGTCCCAGCTATTCTTTTGATCTAGCTCCCTGCTTATACCTGGGAAAGCAGCGATGATGGCCCGTGGCCTTAGGCCTCCAAACTCACATGGGAGACCTAGAATCAGCTTGTGGCTCCCAGCTTCAGACTAGCCCAGCTCTAGCCATAGAGACCATTTGGGGAGTGAATCAGTGAATGGAAGCTCTCTCCTCTCCTGCTCTCCCTTTCAAGTAAAATGAGTTATTTTTAAAAATTAGGAAACTCCTGAGAACAAATTTCAATTGCAAAAATAACTTTAAAATTTTGGAGGAAAAATATACTGATCATTGATATTATTTTTTAAAAGATTCTAACATTTTCATTTTTATATAATCATCAATTCATGACCAAACAACCAAAAATCCAACTAAATCAAGTAGCCTCAGGTGAGTCTCTGGAGATTTGTGTACAGAATAGAGAAATCAGAACCCTGAGCTGTGTACCGGAGCGTATGCGTGTGAAGGCGGGCGAGGCAGCAGCAGCCGAGACTCCCTGACACCCATCTCTGACTCCCTGGCCTGTTTCCCCAGCTCCAGCGCCCGCCTCCTTGACTGCTCAGGAGCTCCAAGGTTCCAAGAGGGCCAGGACTTTTTTCCCCAGAAACTATCCTTCTCATAATTGTCTTAAAATGTATTATGTGCTTGCGGATGTCCTTGGTCTTCGGATCAAACGAGTGGCTGATGTCCTGGCCCGCGACCTCCACGATGGGTTTCAGCAGCAGGTTCCCCTTGTACTCCTGTGCCAGCGGGGTCAGCTCGTACCTGTACCCCAGGCACGACACCCAGAGGTCCTCGGCCTGGTTGTGTACGGCCACCTCGCCGGCATAAAAAAGCCACGCTTGAAATACTCAAAGTCGGGCCCAGCCCCCGGCGCAGCATGGCTGCGGCTCCACGGCAGCGGACACACTTCAGAATCCATTTTTAAGACACTTTAGCGTAGGTACTTATAACCAATGTAAGGTATTGGTTTTAAAAAATGATGGCAGCTTTTTAACATTAAAAATGGGACTGCCTGGACAGTGGTAATGGATGATTTCCCCCAAATGTCATCGCCTGGACCGTTCAAAGTGTACAGTTTCTGAAACTGTTAAAGCAGGCTTCTCAGTAAGTTGGAAAGCTAGGCTGGCCTTTTGTTTAGACAACCACTAGACTTGAACTTTTTGAAATACTTTCATTGTTTCCCCTTATGTAAGAGAACAATTCTTGGTAAGGAAATATACAGCATCAAAGTTTTAGCAAGCATAGGCACCACATACAGGAGATGTTTCTTATCTAATCTACACAAATACAAGCCAACTTCAAAATGGTCACGGGAAATTGTAATTGATTTTTATACTCATTCCCCATGAACTTTCTGAAGAACGGCTTGTTCATAAATTCAACTCTCAACACTGGCATTGTGGCAGATTGGGTTAACCTGCTGTCTGCAACACTGGCAGCCTGTGTAGCTGCTGATTCAAACTGCAGACAATACTAATACACCTGGAAAAGCAGCAGAAGATTGGCCTGAGTCCCCATGTAGGAGACCTGGATGCAATTCCTGGCTGTTGGCTTACGCCTTGCCATGCCTCAGTCACTGCGGCCATTTGGGAAATGAACTACTGAGTGGAATAGCTCTCTTTATACATATAAATGACTCAATAAATTGAATCTCTTTCTAAAAAAAATTTTTTTTATTGGAAAGTCAGATTTACAAAGAAATGGAGAGACAGACAGAAAGATCTTCCATTCTCCGGTTCACTCCTCAAATGGCACAAAGGCTGGAGCTGAGAATATCCAAAGCCAGGAGCTTCTTCCGGGTCTCCCACATGAGTGCAGAATCCGAAGGCTTTGAGCCATCCACTACTGCTTTCCCAGGTCACAAGCAGGGAGCTGGATGAGAAATGGAGCAG